TTGACCACTAGACCACGAGTTCGCCGGTAAGAGGACCGTGTCCGATACCGGGGTCCCTCCTCGGCCAGCCTCGGGGCTCTACGGGCCAGAAGATTATTATCGACGAACCGCGAGCGACCTGAAAGCGTACTGAAGTCCCCCTCTTCGCGACGCGAGCAGAACGCACACATATAGTGAACAAATTATTTTCCGGTGGGCACTGACTGAGAATGTACTATTTTGTGCGGAGCTGCGTACAACTGTCAACATACATAACCTACGTACAAAATTTGTACGTAACTATGTACAATATTGCACGTAATTATGCATAGTATCGCTTCAAATTACATTACGTATGTGCATAGTTGTACGGAGGTATGCGTCCTCTCTCTACGAGTGCGTCCCGAGGGGGAAACGACTGTTAAACTTTGTGTCAGCCGGATTACGGATTACCCGGATTACCTCCGGAGTGTCCTCCGGATTACGTTGCTTTTTCTCTAGGATAACCCCGGATTACCCCCAAAATTTTCCCGGATTACCCCCAAATTTTGCCGGATTACCACGGATTTTTTTAGAATTTCCTCGGATTACCCCTGCCGGATTACCTTTCGGCTGTCAGCCGGATTACCTTAGTCGTTTCCCCCTCGGTGCGTCCTCTCTGCCACTTCAACTCGTATGTAGACTGACGTGGTCGCTGTGTCTAGCTGCCAAAGTGTGCAGTGTGCAGACTGGAGTAAGTACTGGTGGAGAGGCAGCGGAGGCCTATTCTTTTGTCTCCAAGTGAAGCCGTCCTCAAGCACATTTTATTGCCCCCTACCCTATACCCTACCTTCGGCAGCGGCGGAGCGGCCGCTCGGGTGGACTTCGGGTCCAGGGTATTGGGGGGTCGCCGAGAAGAGCAGTGGCCATGCGGGGCGTGGCGTGGCGTAGTGTGAAGGTGCATCGCGCGCTCGGCTGGCGTTCGGCGGAGCCGAGGGCAAGGTATTGGCATCTTCGGCGGGGTATAGCGTGGCGGGGCGTGGCGAGAGGTGGCGGCGCGTAGCTTTGCGGGTGTAGGCCGGCCGAAGGAAGGCGGGGGAGGCGCGCCCAGTGCACTAGTTTTGGCACGGTCCCCGACTGCAGCCGGACACTGTCTGAGTGCGCGCGCTCCGCACACAGAGCTGGAGCGAGCTTCACGTTTTTATGGCCGCTTCCTCTCCACCAGTACTTACTCCAGTGTGTGCAGTACACAGGAGCCGTTGGGGCCCCCCCATCGTTGTCCTCTTCTGCTCTCAAGTGCGCCGGTCTAGGGATTAGCGCTAGCCCCCGGCCGAGGTTTCCTGGGAACGAAAATACCCCGACTACCCGGGGCTCTCCAGGTGAACCGAAAGCGTACTGGGATTGCTCTGTTCGTCTCGGAGCGACTTGAAAACATACTCAGGTCGCTCTGTCCGCGCATGGAGCGACTCGATGACGGACAAAGGTCGCTCCGGCGCGAACATCCGGCGAATCTTGGCGATACGTCGCCCAGGAGCCTGACGAACCTCAGCGACCCATCGGAGCACCGAGCGCGACCCTCCGCGAACCGATAGCGTACCGAAAGCATACCAAAAGCAAACAAATCTTTTTGCGTCGGGCGGTAGTAACTAGGGACTCGTGCATTTACTTACGGCAGGGACACACCATCGGGCGGAGGTGCTCCCGCAGCATGAACAGCGTGCTCGACAGCAGGCTCAGCATCCTCAGGGTCAGACTCGTGCACCGACGTAGCTCACAAGCGCAACCGATCGCAAGCGCAACGGTTCGCAAGCGCAACGGCTCACAACCGCAACGGCTCACAAGCGCAACCGCGGAGAGCCGCCTGTTAGACGGCATCGACTGTAGACGAAGCCAGGAGCGGGAGCGGAGCGCGCAGCGAGCCTCTGGAAGAGAAATGAACCGAGCCTTTGGTCGCTGTGCACTTCTCGTGTAAAATGCGGTACCTCTCAGACACTTTAAAACGTTATTTCGACGCAAGTGATTTGTACTCGCAGAAGTGTGTGTACTCCGCAGATTTTGTGCATTCGGTTACTTCAATTCGTCGCCGTTCTGTACAACTCTGGTAGCGTTTCTCTGAGAAAAGTTTCTCCGAAGGTGAGGAGACCGATACATAACCTCTGCGAGCTTGTACTTTGTGTCAACAACTCGAATGCACACAATCTGTGGAGTACACACACTTCTGCGAGTACAAAACTGGTACAAAAAACTTCGTTCGAAAGATTATTTCGTCCTCTTCATCTTCATTCCCTACCATTTTCGTGCTGAAATGAATAGGAAAGGAGCCAGAGGCGAAAATAGCCGATCGCGCGACGGAATCTCGCTCCGCGGCGGCCGGGCGCGATACTAATTCCTATGTCACAGCTCACAGAGTGATCGTATCGACCTCGGTGGTAGCTCATTTTAAAGGTTTTTTTATGTTCTTTAATCGCTTAGCGGATGTAATTTCGTCTAAAACCAACGGGTGAGGCGCCAGGAGCGAAGTTACCCAAGCGCGCGTTCCGGCGCCAAACTAATTTCGCTGGCAATCCTCTCAGAATAATTATCGCACAGACTTCGGCTTGTGCTCATTCGATAGCTTACATGATGCCCTTTAGTCGCCTCGCTTTGACCCACCCGTCGGTACGCGCTCACGAACTGAGTGCCGAAACCGTCCCTTAATCCACCTTGGCCATGAGGGAGTAGAGACAAGTCAGAACACGTCTTCAAAAATAAAGTGGGGTTTTGTCACCCTTCAGACAACCCCTACCAAAATAGATTAATGTTACACACCCATATGATACGCTCTCAGAAATATATTAGGTTTAAGTTAGGCACTCAAAAGATACCCTTCCAAAAAAAGTTAGGTTGTGTTAGCAACCCCTAAGACACCCTCTCAAAAAATTAGGTTTGTGTTTGGCGCTCAAAAAGATACTCTTCGAAAAAAATAGGTTTATGTTACACACCCTAAAGACACCCTTCCAAGGAAAAAATAGGTTTATGTTAGACGTCAAAAAAAGATAAAACCTTTTTCAAAAAATTTAGGTTTAGTTACACACTCAAAAAGAAACCCCCCCACTCGCGCTGGCCCTTTTGTCACCTGGGTGACAATGGGGAACCAAGATGGCGTCGGGTGACACGGGGGTACCTTTACTACACCGCTTACCCCTGGCGATCGTCTGGAAAACCGCTCACCTCTGCACACTGTTTGGAAAACAGCTTAAATGACTTGAGATATTGGTAACAAAATGATCACAGAAAGACGCTGATTACAATGATGCCTGTAAATGACACCTTTTTGTCCGTAGATCTCTTGCCTGCTGCTATGGACTAACATTTTGTTGCTACCTAAGGCACAAAAAGTATTTCATTTACATTTAGAGTGACTACACGGCACATGTTGCAGGGCTCCTCGCTGCATGTGGACAGAATCCGCAGGACGCATAGTGCTGCTTGCCATCTCATACAGGATGCTACTCATTGCTATGAGCTAGAGTTTCCTGGAGTATTGACGGCAGACTTCATTATGCTACTTCTTTCGACATATTTTGGAATGAAGATGGTGCTTGGCAGGGACACCTACATGGCAAGCATATGGATGGGTTGTGGTATACTGAGTCTTGCTGGCCTGTGTCCCCTCGTCAGAACGTGCCACCTGGCGGTGCGGGAGGTAACGAGCAGAGTCACCCTTCGGCCTACTAGGGTATTCCAGGCTATCCAAAACGGAAGTAGGAAAATAACAAACTCACTGTCTCATCTGTTTCCGCAATCGCTCTGATTGGTCGAGCGGATCACGTGCCACGACAGCCTTTGAGGTATGAAAATCTGTCAGATCAGTTTCAAGCTCCCCTCCATATTTAGGAGGTTAGAAACGGACCAAACTACCATGGTAATTTATCATACTGAGAAGACGGAAACAGATATTCGGTGAGTTTGTTCTATTTCACTTCCGTTGTAGATAGCCTGGAACACCCTATTGCCTAACAGTCTCTACCCCTTCCCTGTGCTAAATACGTTGTGTCCGATTGGGGGCAGAAAAAAGGCAAAGTGACTCGCCTCGGCCGAAGGCCCATTTACGATTGTGCCTTTTGCCCGACTCGGGTGTCGCCAGCTCCGCAGGCCTAGGTAGATGTATGCCAGGCGCGTCGCAGCCTAACAGTGTTTCGTAAGACATTGTGAAGCCTGTTCCGCAAGACGTGCTAGAGCGCACACATCCGGGAATTTGACGGTACTCATTCAAGCACAGTTTCTAGGCCTCACCTAGAAAAATAATGGGAAAAAAACAGCACTTTGCACCAAAAACATTTTAAAAAAACTATTCGCCACTCCTCCGAGAAAACGGAAGTCACCATGTTATAGCATAGCGATTTCCGTTTTCTTGTTCCTCGCATTCTTGTGCATTTCAGCTTTACCGGAATGCTTTATTAAATCCGAGCACGGCAAAAAAGGCCGTGCTTGAACTATGCTTTGGAAACCATCAAACCATCACCAAGCCGTTTTCCCATCTTTTTCGGGTACCCAAAATTGGTTAAAAAACCTTTAGGAAAGTGATCCGAATGAAGCGCCTTTTCCTTATGTATGCATCGAAAACGGGCAAGTGAATATAGTTTTGAGATCCGCTTTGGTTTTTTCTGTGAAGATAACTAAGTGTGACATAGAAATTCCGCCAGTGTTACACGGTATCACCGTAAAATAGCAATTTTGCCAAAACTTCAGAATGCCCAAAATATTTTTTTCGACGTTTAAAAGTCCGGTAAGGCCGTACATTTGCTCAGAAAAGTGCTTGCGTATCCCTCAAACGGTAACAGAACACGACACGTTAGACACAAAGGCCGAAACCCCATTTATTTCGGCAAAAAACTAAGCAAAACGAGACCAAATGCAGAAAAACGGTGATTGTGGTGTGGGTTGCCTATCGCCCCTTAGGGGGCTTCTGCATAGGAGCTCGGTGACCAGATCCTGTTTCCAGGTGTTTCATTCTCTCTGGCACCTGCAATTTTTGAGATACAGACATTATTTCATGAAAATCAAAGTTGTAGAGAATTAGAAGGCCTACAATTTTTGTAAAAAGGCAATTCCCACATTTTGGGGCTGGCTTAGGCACAGTATGCTGAAAAAGAATTCTTGAACACTGAAATTGTAGAAAAATGTTAGTTTTTGTCTTTTAGAGGCTAAAGTTTCACTTCAAACACCATATAATACCCCTGAATATTTCTTAAAGAAGAGATCGTTCTGCATTGAATGGCGCAAACCGCATTGCTGTGTCTCAAACACAAGTTGGGATATACCAATTTGTTCAAAAGTCATAATTTTGAACTTTGAACACGATTTAAGCCGATGGGAACGATGGGATTTCGTGGGAATTTTGGCTAGGCTTAGACATGCCTAAAACGGTCCCCAAAGTTTGGTACTGTTCGGAATTTTGGCTAGGTCAAAACACAATTTGACTGTACTGAGAACGCCAAAGCACAGTTTTTGCCGCCAGAATTAAGGTGGATCTCCAATGGAGCAATCTACGCTACCCATCACCCATCATCCGTCACCCATCACTTGCGATTTCGTGTTTTTACATCGCGAAATACAATCATAAGGTGTATAGTCATATTAATTGTTCACACACATCCTTAGTCTTAACCACAACCCG